GGATCTTCATTCATATCAATACATACAAGATTCATCATCTTCTTCTTCTCCTTCTCTTCTATTTGATGTGACATCATCCGTTTGATTGGGATTCCGCACCATCAAACGGATCTGATTGATACACAAGCAGATTAGGGACTTACAATTAGGATAGAGTAACAAGTAGGTACAATGCTTATTCTGAAGTTTAGTTTTATAGATAGTAATCGACTCCCTAGGGTTCTCCTTCGTAAATGTAGTTTAGAATATATTTGGATTATACAGTGATAGTGATTTCTCAGACAAGTACTTTCTAATACATAGTGGTAGTGATACTGATTCCTTTAGACAAACATTGTGGTACTGCTAATGACCCCTCAGACAAATACCTTCTGATACCTAGTGATAGTGCTAATAACCCTTCATAGAAGTAGTTTCTGAAATATTAGCATCAGTCAAGCACTGACTAAAATATTGACAGCAGTCAAGTACTTACTGAAATATATCCCAATAGAAATTGAAAGGCTTTTTAAACTATTTATTCCAAAATTTCGAGAGATCCTAAGTATTACAAAGAGAGTTATAAACAAGAGTCTTTCACCTTTCATTATTTATTTGTAAGGATAGAGATCTACTAATGTTATCTAACTATTTGGCGAATATTTTTACATGTTGCTAAAATTAACTACTTTTTCGATTGAACGATTTAATTCTATAATGGTTAGACTCAGAAGAGAGCTGTGAAATGGACTTAAATTTATCTTTCTAAAACCATTTCATTCTCGAAACAAGTAACCTACGTATCCTGCAACAAACAATAACATGTTTTTATTCTATTCTTACTAGTTTTATGTTTTGATTAAATCTAGTGTTCACAAAACTATATCATTATGTAGTTTCTACATAAGTTATTTAATGAGGTCGTACCAATTTCTAGCGGAAGATCCTTTGCACCGTCATTCGTGCTAATGAAAAATGCTCTTCCCTGAGCGTTATCCTTTCGACTTGACAATCTAGGGCATTCTCTTTTGAAGTATCCAATCTCTCCACATTCATAGTAGTTATGATTTCCACCAACACCAGTTCCATGGTTTGGGAGTCGGGTTGGACTCCTACAAAAGCTAACGGTATGGCCCATTGTACTGATGTTATTAAAGATTATTTTTCTACATGCACCTACATGGTGGTAGTTGCACTCACCATATAACGGAAGATCTCGTACATGATGTCTTAACGGAGTAGCTGATGCGATGGTTGTTGGATAAAATTTTCCTAAGTCTTGCTTCTTCCATGATGGTTACTCTGAGTCACCATCAAACATTCCCTTGCCATTTATTGACTTCGGAAGGTCGACATTTTGAGCCATAGTCCCATGGGTATTTCCTAATTGGTCAGGTTAAAGGCCAGTCTCTAGGCACTATCGTACATAGTTGGCCTGGAAGTAGTGACTAATCCTTGAATAAGCTGAACTAAACCGTATATATACCTTTATACCTTCTTGTGCTCTGGGGTGACGAGGTTAGGACAGAAAGTAGCGAGATCGTTGAAATGGTTGGTATAAGCTACAATGTTTGTATCTTTCATGAATAGATCCCAAAGATCTTCATCTAGATTTTGCATGTCCTATCTAGGAAAGTCATATTCAGTTAGTAGCTGATTTCGATTATCCTAGGAGATGGCATTCGTTGTGCTAAATCCCATGGTTTTTACATAGTTGTTCCACCATGACAATGTTGTATCCTAGAAGGAACAAAGAAAAAACTTACCTTTTCAATCATAAGCACAAAAGCTGATCTTTAATACTGACTCCATCTTATCAATCCATTGAGTCACTCTTATTTCTACTTCATTTCTGTAGAGGGTTTTAGGCTTACAGTTCATGAATTCCTTATAAGTAAAGGACCTTGGGAGGCTCCCGTTACCACCCTGTGTACTATCCCCTCCGATTCCTTTACCTTGTAAGAATTCGGCATTCCTTTTAGCCAAGACTTCCGCTACTCATTGAGTGACTAACGCATCAATGAATGATGCATCCATGGTTATTGGGCCATGGTTTGGTTATGCCCTAGGGTTCCTTCTAGTGATCTTCCTATCATAATTAGTATAGAATGAGAGTGTTATCCATTGACATTTATGATTATTTTTATAATTATGTCTAGTAACGATTAAGCGCATGAGTTAGTGTAAAAACAAACATCATAAAAGTTAAGAGAGTAAAAGCTTCGAAATGCTATTCTCAAGATATAGAGAGGGCACTATACTCTTTTAGATATTGGTTTTCTCATTGTTCTTGTAATCCAACAATTTTACAGCAGGGTTTGTCTAGGTAAGCATACCTTATTTTAAAAGGACAATTAGTGAAGATACTAGGTAAGAGAGCTGCAACAGAATGAAGCGGGTTCTTATCTTTGTCATACATGCACTAGTCTAGGCGGCGATTTACATTTGCTCTACAACTTGTGCCTGGAGCCTTAACGCTTTTATCCAGTCTTAGATCCTTATCTAACATTTGGATCATATTAGATAGGCTTACGATGCTTCCTGTAATGATTCGTAGCTTATCATTGATGGTGAATATGGCATGTAATACGTGTTGATAGGAATGCGAAATTAGATGACGTTTCGAGGGATAGGGATAGGTGGTAAATCTGGTGTTGATTTATAGCCTTCTTATTCTCAGAATGCGAGAAATCAACTACTTACTTAGTGGGATTTGTCTCCTCCTAACCAAGATTTTCTTCCTCATAGGACTCAGAATGGTCCTATGAGAGTCCTTATAACGATTTAGCTAACTCTCTAGCTGCTTTTGAGAAATCGTCCTCCTTGTGAGGTTCCTCATCAGGTTAAAGAAAAGTATAGGCATGGAAACCGTAGGAAAATGGATATCCTTGGTTTCAATAGAGAGTGGCCCAACTTGATCTTTTCTCTGGAATTGGTTTTGTTACCGTGTTTCCAAGATTTTCCATCCTCATGCGATGACTGTGATATCATTCCTAGATAGTAATGGCCTGAATCGTTGGGTTCTAAGTTCTACGGGATTCTCGAGAGTTTAGTCTATCAACTGCCATATCCAAGATTAGTTGTATGTCGGTGTAACCATAATTAAGCATAAGTGTACAGGCTATTCCTAGTTGTGGTTCGGCCCACATACTATGCTAATCTCAGATATCGTATACGACTTAAGCTCTTTGCTTTGGGTTTCTATAGATTTTGTTGTATGATACATACATGCCAACATACATACATACACACAATCATATATATATATATATATATATATATATATATATATATATATATATATATATATATGTTTTTGAAATACAAGAATTTCTATTAAAAAGGAGCCTCGACAACTAGGCATAACTGTAACAATAACACGTCTTCAGTATCTTCTTCGATCAACAAATACTTTCGGGAGTGCATTCTTCCATCTCTTAGCCTTATAGGAATACATGTGGGTTTGAAAATGTCAACATAATGTTGGTGAGTTCATAGGTTTCGTATATTATAGTTTGGAGATACTTTTTGTATACAACTTTTGTTAAGTCATAAAAGTATTTTGATTCTTTGAAAATAGTACCACACTATTCATAGGTACTAGGGTTTCTGTAATTATCATTCACCTTATATATTATTAGTGTATTCATATCTTAGCAGTGCACTTAGGGAAATGAGAGCTTTTAAGAGTAGGCTAACCGAGAGTGAACCTAATGTAGGTTAGTTGGATACAGTCCAACCGTTTCTTATATGACAGTATATGTATGACGTAAATAGAGTTTCTATATTTCATTGCATAATTATAACTAATATATATATATATATATATATATATATATATATATATATATATATATATATATATATATATATATATATATACATATAATTATTTTTAATAGATCTTCTTAGCAAAGCGAAACTGGCGTAATGGTGATATAGCCATTGTTATAGTTGAGTGATGGTATACCATACCATAATTATCCGTGGATTTCGAACGTAGAGACAACATAAAATTCTACTATTATCTGCTGAGATCGAGTGTAGAGGCTTTGTAACACACTTCTAGTATCCGTTTGAATATTTTATAGAGTATTGATTTGGGATAATGTTATTCACTTAGCCAGCTCTAGGTACTATGTTACCCTTGAGAAATGGCCTAGTATAATGATTATGTATTAGACTTATTCTTTAGATTTGGCCAACTTTAGGTATTATGTTACAATATAGAAATGGATAGTGTAATGTCTAGATTCAACACTATCTTTTAGATTTTGCCGACTATTGGTATAACGATTACATATAACATTATTTTCTTTAGATTGCACCAGCACTAGGTTATTATCCTCGATGTTGAAATCATAGATAGTAATATTGAATCTCCAAAATACCTCAAGATTGAAACAATTTGTTCGATGAAAAAATAAGAATATTGTAAGGACTACTCCAACTGAACAAATTGTAAAGAATTCTATAAGTTTGCAAACTACATTTTGAAAATAAAACCAATCAGTCTATTTCACAAAACTGATGAGCCCAAACAAACCTCTTGTAATAAAGGAAAAAAAAGGCTATTAGCAACAACATCGTAGTTTTCTTTATGAAACCAAAAACATTCAAGAATGCTACCCCAATAGTATCTTTTAATCCCAATTCCAAAATCCAACATGTCTCATATGGAATGTAGATCAATGAACGCATGTTAAATTTTGGATTTAAACCCATTTCTATGAATGTTGTTCTTTAGTAAAAGCTTACATAAAAAGGAAAACCAAGGACTTTAGGAAAGAACAAGTCACAATACATGAAATCTAGAAGTCCCAAATATAGTAGAGTGAACAAGGAAAAGAACATCAAATCTACACCAGAGTGACAGAAACCTATGTCAATTTCTTCAAAAAATCATTCTATAATTTTGCAAGAGCCGAACAACTTTTGATTTCCATCTCCAATTTCTTCTTCTTTTCTTCTTCAGAAAAAGTTACCTCAAGACCGTTCCCTTTATCTCCTTGGTTGTGTTTCTATGGAGGTGGTTTAGAACTCGACCCAGAGCCTCCAACACTTTCGCCAATGAGTATCATTTTTGTTATCAGTTTTGATGTTGTAGTTGTAGACGTTATTGTAAATGAAACTGGAAGTGATGTAAGGATTTGTGTAGACATAACCTTCATAACGACTTTTCCCTTATCAACATCATTTGAAGATCCAACCCCCCTGCATTCTTTTTCTCCCCCTTGTACCACTTGCTTCGCAGGTGGATCATTAGTTGATAATAAAATTACTAACTTAAGGATGAGATCAAGTTCCGCCTTGATGTTAGACTTAATAGAAGAAATCATCTTGGAAATAGATTCCTCAGAAACCGAAGATTGCTTTGAAAGATCACCTTGCAAAAGAGTATCCTTGATGCTGCTTAAAAATTCCTCCAACTTATTAAAGACTTTTGAATCATGTTCTGTCTTTGCATTAAGCTTGGTTGAATATGAGGTATTATATTCAACAAGCTTCGTTATGGAATCAGCAACAACGTCAACTTTGCCATGAAGAACTGAGTAATTCTTCTCTATCTTCTCCACTTCTTTGGTCATTTCGGGTTTTAGCTCTGCCACCGTGAGATTAACAGATTCTTCCAACTTCTTAATCTGTCAACAAAAATTACATGATTCTCTTTAGCAACATCACGCAGCTTTATATTCAAAATTGCATGATTAACAGATTCTTTTGGAACTTCTTATTCTTCTCTATCTTCCCTATATTTAAAATTGCTCGCATGAAGGTTTAATCTTTCAACATGTTGTTGCTCAATATTCTCCATCACACTTTTAAGACGATTCTACTGAGATTTGAGCAGGTACTCCACTTCGATCCCAAAAAACAAAGTTTCTACCTCCAGTCTCATCTTGAATCTATAATAGAGATTTAAGTTTGTTGTTGAGAATCTTAAACTCTTTGCCGAACATAAGCATATTATCAGGAAAGTTGTCCTTTTCAAGATCAAATTGTAAATCTGCAAACGACACCATAATTTTCTCATCATTTGGGTGTTCATCGTGTACTAATCTCTCTGGCTCTGTGGATTGCAAAGAGAAGAGAGTAGTAATTGGTTCATGCATGATGTTGGAAAATGTTGATGATATTGTGGAAGCAAGAAATGATGAAGGGATATGAGAAGATAATGGTGGTAATGAAGTTAAGGTATCCATAAGTGTGGTTTCGACAGTAAATGAAAGAATTAGGCAGTGGAAACAATTGATGTTTCAGGTTGGGAAGTAGCAAAGACTTCATTGTTCATCACCCCTTCACCCATGGTGACATTTGTGTTCGTATCAGATACACTCACAAGGATGTCTGAGGTGTAAAACTCCTCCAAAAAGGACTCGGTTTACGAATCCTCGGGTGGTATGACAATTGCCTTCTTAGGGATGGAAGTAGATGGGGAATTACTCAAATTAGTTGTTGTATCCGTGTTAGATACATGTACATTGTGATAGGACTGTCAGTCCCCTCAAAAGTCAACTTAACTGGAGAATCCCTTTGAGGTGACCCAAAGCCAATATCATAAATGTGAATCTCAGAGTGTTCGCTATCACTACAATGCTCTGATTCGGCAACAACTTTATATACAGGGTCTTCAAGTAGTCTTTGTTTTTTGTTAAGCTTTTTAACCATCTCTTGTGCTTGACATTTCTTGGAAGCTGGTGAAACAAGAGCTGGAATTTTGCGAACAAGCACACCTCTTCTGTTAAGTTAAGGTTTGCGAATTTTCTTTACCCCCCTTTGAAAAATTATGGGATTTAGTAGGGGTTTCAGCTTCAACTTCTGAAACAGATGGCCTTTTAGGAGAATGACGAGGTCTCTGAGCAGACTTCTTTGTTCCTTTGAGAATTCTTGTCTTCGAAGGAATGACTTCCTTTGAAACTTCCTTCTTCACATTCTCTTGAACAGGTTTTGAAAATTCCTTTTCCACATTCTTTTCAACAAGTTGTGATTGTTCAGTCTTCTTCTTTTTCTTTTGAGTATTACCGGTATTTGACGAACCCTCAGCCCCCCTTTGGCAAAAAAAATTATAAATTTGTAAAAAAGATTGAGAAAAATCAGAAGTTTCCTCTTCCTCAATTTCACTAATATTATCATAATCATCTTCAATATCAGCAAAATTTTGTTGAGAGACTAATGCTGAATTCTCTGTCATGTTCAAAATTTTGACTTGTTCATTCTTAGTAAGATTTTTGTTAACAATATGCACTAAATCATCAGCATTCAAGCATTCATTAATTTTGACTATTCCGTAAGCATATGAATTATTAAGCACTTAATCAAATTCAGATATTTTCTTTTTGCAATCATAGGAAGTAGCATCAATTTTTTCTTTTTCATATTCTATGAAAGGTAATAATTTCCTATGTTGTTCTTTGCAAATATTAAAAGAGTGATGCAATTCGGTGAGTTTCACATATAATCGTTTTGCGCTATTACAATAAATGTTTCGTTGTTTTCCGGACAAAATATTGTTATGTCTTACAACATCTCTATCTAGAGTCTAGTTTCATAGTTGAAGCTCTAGATTCTCTATCTTATTCTTCTTAATCTCCAAACGATTTTCAATATCAAACAACAATTTTTTTGAACGTTCATCTTCACTACTAACAAAAATCAGCATATCATTAACATATGAGAGAGTATCATCAAAATCAGATAAAACTGTAACATAAGTGCTTGAAGGAATATTAAAAGATTCAAGAAAAGTACATACCTTTGAAGTCATGGGATACTTGTTTGTGCTGGTAGATATAGAACACCTTCATGTGACCTTCTCATCCATAGACATATCCTCATCATATTGAGCAAACATCGCTCTGTGAGTTGGATTCCTCATCTCTTCGTCATCAGATCTAGATGACCAAATCCGGTACGTTCCATCACTCTCGCTTCCTCCCTTCGCAACAAATAAAAAATCCTTGGTCTTCGGCCTTACCTCTTCTAGCTTCTTGGCATAATAAGCTTCATCTTTTACTCTCTCCTTCTTTATCAGCATGCAATCCTTGGCCAACGGGTTCGAGCCATTGCAAATAGTTGCAATCATAGCCCAAATCACCTTTCAACTTTGACTGTTTCTTCTCAGCAACATTCTTACCATCCTTGTTTTCTTACTTTAACTCCACCTTCAAAGCTTTTGACAGTGAGTTGTTCCCTTTGAACTCACTGTTACTCTTGTACTTTGGGTTGAAAGGTTTCTTGAAGAACTTTTTAACATTGTTATTGGAATAGTAAGCAACACCCTGATCCACTTGATCGCCAGTTTCGATCTCAGATTACTTCACATTCACTTTTAACATTAATGATAAAGGTCCACCAGTGCCCAACTTTCCTTCCTCTGCTATCTCATTGATTTCATTTGCATGATCCTTGACCACATTGTACAGATCACCCAAACAGTATCTGTCACACCCTGCTAAAGCGGAAACACAGGGCGTGGCAGTACAAAAGGTTTCATAACAAAAGTTAAAAGACAACACCAACCATAGTATTGAAAACCATTACAAATTTACAATGGGTTGAACAACTTTTAAAAGAAATTACAATGTAAATTGAAATACAACACATGCGAATGCTCCTAAAAGTGAAGTGTCCCTAAGTGCCACTTACTCGATGGTTCTTGAAAAAGCATGTAAAACGAGCGTCAACTATAAAAATAGTTGGTGAGTAGTCACAAGTTTAACAAAATAATATTGGTTCATGAATTGAAATCAAAGTTTTGATAAAAGTTTCCGATAATAAAAGTATATTGTTAAAGGAGTAAATAAGTTTGTAAAAACAAAGTTCTTTGTCATCATGAGAGATAAAGTATGTTGCCCAAATTTGATGCAACGTTCATATTCTCATGGAAGATAAAGTTCGTTACTCAAACGAGTAAACATGTTTCATTGCTAAAATGAGCAGTCAATTTCGTTGCTACAAGGAGCAAACAATTTCATTGCTAAAACATGTATATAAGTTTTCAGTAATAAAAGTTCGTTGTTGTAATGTGAAACAAAGTTCATTGCTATAATTAATAACAAGTTTATTGCTATAACGAAAAACGAGTTTGTATGTGTATGAGCAAACATTGAGTCTCAACCAAACCTATGACTGAAGCCCTATCAAGATCTATGCTTATCGTTCCATAGATGAATATGGTATCATGCACTCCAGCAATAGGGCGAGTGAGGAGTTGTCAATTCCTAATAGCGCTATCCATAATGACCATTGGCTCAAAGAGTTAATGGTTAGAGATAAGGGAATGGCCTTAGTATGATAAGTTCTCATGTTCCGTGTTGCATAGACATACATAGAGAGACATAACAATAAAATAGCAATCATGTTTGATACAAATCAATTTAAATACAACATTCAAATAATAGTTTTCGGGACATGCTTTTCCACCCCAAAACATAAAACTGAAAATAGGGGAGTGCGTGAATACTCACAATGTTTCGAGTAGGTACAAGTAGTGCCTCGGAATACACCAACGCCTTACTACCGGGATCCTACGACATCAAACACACACTAGTGAGTTTCCATGTCGAAATCTAATGCTAATATACTAAACTCTACATATAGAGAAATGCCAAATTTATGTTCTAATATCGGTTTTATATTAATTGGTTCCAATTTTTCTGAAATGGTGAAATTCTATAAGTCATGTGATTAAGACAATTTTGGATATTAATTTCCAGATTTAGTAATATAATTTGAGGGTATTTCAACACATTTAAAGGTGTTTTAAATTCCTAAAAATGTAAAATATTATCAAACAGTTTCCAAAAATTATCAAACCTTGTATTTTCATTCTAAATACAATAGAGGTTTTCAGAAAATTTTTCCTTGAATTTTTGATATGGTTAACTATTTTTCCAAGTTTTTAAGCCTTTATAACCACATAAATTCACGAAAAATAGCATTCAAAGGTTAAAAATTCTCAAACTTTTTATTTTACTGTTATTACACATTACTAAGCTAGGAAAAATATAAAAAATGGATTTCCAAGCTGCTTAACCCAATTTTATGATTTTTGAGCATTTATTCCAATAAAAATTGAAATAAACAGAGAACAGTTTCCAAAATTACTCAAACTTTTTATTTTACTGTTATTATACATATAGGAGCTGGGAAAAATATAAAAGATATTTTTCAGTTGGTATTTCTATTTTTCTTTGTTTTATCCCCTTAAGTAATCATTAATTGAAGAATAAATAATAAAGAGTTAAAATAAATTCCCAAAAAATTTTGTAACATCATTTACAGTGTAAGTAATCTGGGAAAAATACCAAAGGTGGTTTTCATATTGTATAATCCGGTTTTGGGTATTTAAGTGTATTTAAGTGTATTTAAGTGTATTTAACCTTAGAAAATAGGAGAAAAATAGTATACAGAAGAGAAAAATCATCAAAATTTTTATGTAGGCTCCAAATGTACAACAAGAGGTTCTGGTAATTTCTCATGAATTTTGGATGATCATAAATATTTTTTCTATTTTTAGGCCATTATAATTACAAAAATTGGGGAAAAATAGAAATGTATTATGAAAAATCTTGAAATTATTTTTCTGAGTCTTCCACATCTGGTAAGAGGTGCGAAAATTGCTATATGGCATTTTCACACTCTCTAAAGTGGTTTTGTGATTTATTGGAACCACACAAAAAGAAAATCAAAAGACACATCAAACAGTAACAAAAATCGATGAAATTTTATGAAGGGTCATTATTCACCATAAGGGTCATTCACGAATTTTTCTAGGATTTATAGACCTCAGAAAGTATTTTATGTGATTTATGCCCTTGTTTTCTTGTAACAAATTTAATAAATCAAAGAAATGGTAAAAACTCTTGGGGGATTTTCCATATATTCATATCATCTTAATGGGAATCTGGGAAAATTTTTATTTCGAACAGAAAGAACTTTTAGATATTTTTTATAAATAAAATAATTTACATGCACTATTAACAATGTACTTTTAGATATTTTTTGAAGACCATGCATGGACATATGTTGGTCATAGTGATGTTTTCAAAGGAAATACTTGAATGCATAAGGTATATGAACCTTCAAAACTTGTAAAAATCCGTATTTTAGTGTTTGACATAGGTTTTGGTCCTTGGATTTCACCATTTACAACATGCATGTTGTTTTTGGTTGAAATCCTACCACCATCATCATCAAAACCATGAGTTTGTGTGTGTGTATGTTTATGTGTTCATGATCTTTCATTAGAATGGTGTAGAAGAACAAAGAAATGCAAGAAAATCAATGAAAACTTGAAGGAAAATGAAAGGAAATCGTGTTCTACCTTAATGAACACCATTAGATGATGAAGATTTTGAGTATCTTGAGTATTCTTGGACATGTTGGCTGTAAAATTTCGTGGTTCATAGTGGGAGGAAGAGAGAAAATGTGTGTGAGAGAGAAATGAGAGAAAATGAGGGAATATGGAGTGTGAGAGAGAAGAAGAATCATTTTGTGTTGGGAAGAGGAGAGGCATCTTGGGAGGAGGGAGTCCGACTTTGGGGTGGAGAGAGGGTCTCCCTCTCTTAAATTTTATAAAATTATAACTTTATTTTATAAAAATATCAAGTTTTTATAAAATATGCACCTTATTTTAATTTTCATTCACAAAACGTTGATTTTTTTTTTGCATAGAAAATAAGGTTAAATACTAATGACTTAAATTTTTTTTTTTTAAATGCATTCTCATAATTTTTATTATTATAAGATCATATTATAAGTTTCATAATTATTTTTATAGAAATTTTTAAGGTTAAAGTTTATAAATATGAGTTTTTATGGCTTTAGGGTTTTGGAGTTTAATAAACTTTGAATATCAAAATAAATAGAATATTTGAGACTTTAAATTATCTTATGGTATTATAACTCTTTTATAGTTATAAATAATGTTTGTAATTTATTTTTATCGGTTTATTGGCATTCTATGTAGTGACTCCGAGATTCAAGCGAAATTGAGGAATCAAGTATACTAGTCCTAGTCTACAACTTTGACTTAAGTTTCTATGAGACTCCGACCTAATTTCTACTACTAGGTCAAGTGCATAATGTGTTTATATGATTCATGAAAAGGTGTTCGAGTCAAAGAGTGGCCCGAATAAGGATAGTCACTACCGTTCAGTAGATGCAGAATTCACATATCAATGTGAAATCTAAGCACATTATCCATTGTTTCTAATTGTTTCCAAGTTTCTAGTAGGTCATAACTTAGCTTCTAGTTACTATGTCTAGTATGTGTCGTGCCTATATGTGCAACTAAGTTTATTCAAAACTAGAACTAACTCGAATTTTGACGGTTGTCACAGTATCCATCAAAACTATGTTGAGTTTTTATCATCAAACTTATGTTTCTCCACTCCTTTCGTAGCCCCATCAGAAAGGTAAGATCATACTCAAGAGTTGTACAAGTAACCCCATAGCGATTGCACTTGAATATCAGCTCACTCAAGCGATCATAATACTGCTCAATGGTTTTGCTATCCTTCTTG